ACCTTGGAATAAGAAAAGAAGGATGTTTAAATTGGGAGCTAGGAGTGGAGAGCGATTTAGCGGAAGAGAGTTGAGAAAATGGGAAAGATGTTTCATCGAAAACAACATGAGGAGATGTATAGATTTTCTTGGAAGCAAGGTCAAAGTAACGATAACCTTTATAAGACTCGGGATAACCCAAGAATATACATGGAGCAGATCGAGGATGGAGCTTATGAGAAGCTAAATGAGATAAGTTGGGAAAACAAGAGCACCTAAAAACCCTTAATAGACCATAGTTAGGTGGATGACCATAAAGAAGGGAGAAAGGAACATCACTATTGGATTTGGTAGGTAAACGGTTTAACAGATAAACGCTAGTATGTAAAGCCTCTATCCAGAATTCATTTGGTAAGTGAGCTTGATTAAGAAGAGTGCGAATCATATTGAGGAGAGTTTTATTCATACGCTCAGCCTTGCCGCTTTGTTGCGGAGTGTACGGACAAGAAATGCGCATGGTGATGCCCTTAGATTTGAGGAAAGATTGAAGATAATGAGATTGAACATATTCAGCTGCACCGTCAGATTGAAAAGTTTTTATTGTGGAATTGAATTGAGTTTGGACAAGAGAATAAAAATCAATAAATTTTTGAGGTCCTTCATATTTATTTTTGAGTGGATACACCCATAAGTAATGAGTGAAATCGTCAAGAAAAAGTACAAAATACTTGAAATCACTAAATGAAAGACATGGAGAAGTCCAAACATCGATATGTATGATATCAAAAGCTTTATACGTAACAGAAGAGGATGACATGAAAGGGAGCTTTTGATGCTTCCCAATTTGACAAGCCTTTCAAAGTCTAAATTTATTTGAAGAAACCACCGAACCAGGAAGTCGGTGATTTGATACTAAGCTAGATAAAACAGAAGAATGTGGATGACCAAGGCATTGATGCCAGACATGAGAGGAGACCGAAGCAGCGAACGTCGGACAGGACGGAGAAGACGGTGCATGAGAGTGAGGTAGCAGTGTGGATGGGAAGGAGTAAAGTGAACCAGCACTATTGCAACGTAGACGAGGGGTCCTCGTCCAAAGATCCTTTATAGAAAAACCAAAAGGGTCAAATCCGACAGAATATTGATTTTCGGTTGCAAATTGACGCACAGATATGAGATTTTTAGTTAGTGAAGGAACATGGTAAACCCTAGGAAAGTGAAACTTAGAGCAAGGAAGTTGACCAATTGATGTAACAGGTAAATGATGACCATTACCAATGACAACTCGAGTAGGACTGATATAGGGTTTGGAATTAGTAAGAGTACCTTGATTTAGAGTCATAGTGTTACCACAAGCAGTATCTATATACCAGGAGGAATCAACGGACGGAGGAACCGAAAGCCGATTATTTTGATCAACAAAGTAAGCGGGTTGTTGAAACTGATAGCAATCTCGAGCAGAGTGATTGAATTGATTGCACAATTGACACCGAACAGCAGTTGAAGTGGTCTGGAAGGAAGGAGCCGGTCCAAGAAGAGAGGGAGCACGTTGCCTGGGAGTAAACATAGGAGCTGTATAATTAGTAAAAGGTGCATAAAACGGTGAGGAAGTCTGACCAAAAAATTGATTTCGGCCACGCCCACAGCCACGTCCTCGATTAGTCTGAAAACCGCGACCCCTGCCACGGCCACGATTGGAAGACTGCTGCTATTGAGAAGGGGTGTTTGGCTGCTGCTGTGGAGGTGCAGTGGAAGACGCCACGACCAGAGCAGTGGTAGCCACGGAGAGAGAAGAAGGGGCAGTATTCTGAAGTTGCACTTCGAGCAAGAATAGCATTGACCGAGCTTCAACGAAGTTGGGTAAAGGAACTGGATGATTAATGGTAGTAGAGACAGACTGGTAGTCCGAAGGGAGACCAACCAGGATTTGAAGCACCAAGTCATCATCTTAGATAGGAGAACCGACGACTGTTAATGAATCGGCCAACATCTTAAGTTTGGTAACATACTCATTGATGGTTAATTCACCTTTCTTTAAGCTATGAAACTACAATTTCAGTTGGAGAAGGCGAGAACCAAGCTGATCGTGGAAGAGTTTCTCGATGGTGAGCCACGCTTCGCGGGCGGTAAGGGAAGAATTTGGCCGAACAATTGCTTGCAAAATCTCAGTGGAAACAGTAGCTTGGATCCAGGAGAGGACAATGGAGTCGATTTGGGTCCAAGTTTGAAAGCCGGGATTGGGACCGGAGGAGGAAGAGCTGTTAGAGGCAAGGAGAGTTGACGGAGGACAAGGATCGGAGCCATCGATATGACCAATCACGGCATGGCCGCGAAAGACAGGAAGGAAAAGCTCTTTCCAGAGCATGTAGTTGTTAAAATCCAGAACAGGAGTCACATAATTCTTTATGTTGGAAAGACCAACAGCCAGATGAGAAGTTGGTGGTGTATGAGAAAGATTGCCGGAAGTAGCAGAGTTGGTGTTCAGGGTTTCGGTCGACAAAATTGAAGTAATTTGGTGTGAGACAGCAGAGTCGGCGGAATTCGTCATTGTAGCAGTTGGCAAAGAAGAAAAATATGGACAGAGATGATGAAGGAACAGCCGCCGGATGAAAGCTTGAAAAAAAAAATTGATTTTGATTGAATGTGAAAGTAAAAAAAAAAAAAAAAAAAGAAAAAATTAATACCAAGAACCACGAAGAATAGTGGTTTGTTTTTCTTTCAAGGAAATTTAGAGATCATCGGCTTCACGAGAGAGGGAATCCCAATCTCTCTGTAAAAGCTCACTTTTTTTTTTTTGTTAAGTGAAGACTGAAGAGGGCGGCGGCAGAAGAAGGGAAGTGAAGGAGAAAAGAAGAAGGAGCAGCGGCACAACGGAGACCCTAAAAAAAAATAAAATTGAGAGGCCAGAAAAGAAAGATGATACCATGAAAGAATAATTGTGTGTTATTAACGTTATACAACATGGTATTTATAGTACATTAAGTTATAATCCTAACCGACTATATCAAAAACCCTAATTAGGGTTTTCGTAATTATATATATTCTATCAGTCTTCAAATTCCGGGTGCTTCCCTGCAACATATATGAGTATCAAAACTAATTTCATGGAAATATTTCAAATATGTGTCACGAGATCGGAAGTTCAATTTTTTTTCGGGATCAATAGAAAGGAGTACGTACGTACCCATGACGTCGGCAACGGTCTCGCCATTGGTGAATCTACCAGTTGGGCCATATGGAAAATCGATGCCATAAGGAAAGTAATTAGCCTTGGCCTTGGTGTTGAGATTATTGTTATTGCTACTATCAACCAATGAGTCTCCAAATATGAAATAACATGGAACTTGAGATGCTTCACCTGTTTTTGAAGAGATGATGATGAGCCCTAAGGCCAGTACTACCACCATATTGACCATGAACTTGAACCAACTCAATGTATGGAGTTCGAAAGCCATAGGTTTTGGTCACAAAACAATGATGAATTTGGTAAGCTGGTTAATTTTGTGGAGAAGAATGGAATGCCGGTGTAATCTATATATAGTACTATTAAAATAACTGTCCAAGAGGGACTGTAATATGATGTTTCGCGCTGTAGTCTAAAACATCAAGTTTTTTTTTTAATATTTTTTTTAAAAAAAATCCTTCCCAATAAATCTCATTTAAATATGAGTAAAATTATCCCAGTTTTAAACTACATTGTTTAGAAAAAAAAATAAATTTTAACTTACTACAACAAAGCTACTATTAAATACTTTAAGAGATCAAATCTTATTAAACAAATGCGAGAGATAAATTTTGATGTTATAATGTAATTTCATATGACATTTTCTCATTGAAAAAAACCGGGGTCTTAAAGGTTAAAAAAAAGTTAAGTTCTATGGATAAAATTAGCGAAAAATTAAAGATGAAATATTCTCTTTATCTTTAAACTCAATAGTTATTAAAACAACTGTTGGAAATAGAATAAAAATTGACTTGTCGCAATGACAATAAATGCGCCCATGCATTGAACTGGAAAAGAGATTATCGTAATTTGGAAAAAGTTGATAGATCGTAATCCAATATACTTTCTCTGGTCCTTATTATAAAAAATTTTGATTTCGTCATAGATTTAATTTAAGATATCTTTTTAATTAAAAATAAAACATTAAAAATATATTTTCATATTCGTGTATTTTCTTAATTATCATGAAATGTTTTTAAAGTTTTTATTTTAATTAAAAAGACATTCTATATTAAACTTAGGACGGAATCAAAATACTTTATAATAAGGACCGGGAGAGTAGTATTGAAATGATTGATTAATGAATAGTGTGAAACTTTTGTTGATTGATTTTGTTCATTGCTTAAAAGAGTTATATTTTATAATTGATTTCTAAGGTAGCCCAATTGGCCAAAGAGAATCAAAACAATTTACAAAAGATAATCAACAGAATTCGTGTGAGACTGAAGCCAAATACTGTATACTTGAACTTTAAGTGTGTATATTTGATTCGTATTAAACAGTATCCCCTCTAATCCTTATTAAATCATTTTGATTTGTTCTACATTTCATTTAGCATGTTTTCGACTTGAAAATAAAATCTTAAAAATATTTTATAATTATTGGAAGAATCCAATAAATGCGAAAATACATTTTAAGGTTTTATTTTTCAATTAAAAGAACATACTAGATAAAATTTAGAACAAATCAAAATACTTTATAATAAGGACCGAAGGAGTAGTCGCAATCACATATTATTGATTTCTTCCCAAATTTTTGATGATATACCCTTCCAAGATCCGTCCGTATAGGTTTTCATTGGATTATTATTTCGGAGCACGCTTTAGCTCGGTTTGTTTAAACTTCTAACGTGAACGAAATGCTTTGAAGCTAATGTTTCAAACTTTGTTACGCATTTGTTTTGTTTTCCAAGCGATTTTGTTTGATGGGGAATTTACTGTCTGCAGCACCTCCATTTGTTTTGTTTTCCACGTAATTCTGATGAATCTATAATATTGAATTTTGAAGATGTGAAGCTGTTTAACAGTCAGAATGTTGTTGCTTTCATAATCTGAATTGATAATTTGGGCTATTGATTGAATGTGACAAAGGTGTCTTATATCACAAAGGTCATACAATTGATTGAAATCTATTTCTATTTCTGCAACCGCAGGTTTACAAATCATAATACACAAAGTTCCCGAGGTACTAATAAAAGAAATGATGAATACGATCTCCTCTCTATATTGGTTGAGAAGCAGATTAACATGAACAGTGGAAACAAGAAATTTTTACTTTCTATTTCTGGATGGTTATAGTACAATCGTTACAATTGAGAAACAGAAAGAGCTTCATTTAGTTCTTCCTCTGCAACAATTTTCGATGTAGGTGTAAAGACAATGTTTGAGGTAGGCGATTCAATGGCTTCAATCTCCATTGGTTTCACATCAAAATTCCTGCCTACTGCTTCAATAATCCTGTCGATAAAGTTTGACCTCGGTATATAGTCCTTCATGCGGCATAAAAATTCCAAATGGTCCCTTTCCTGGCCCAAGAAATCAACATTGCAATATGATGAGTAATTTGGACAGTCAAAATGTAATTTAAAAGATAACCCTACATTCATAGTACACAAAAGTTCAGATACTGAAGTCCAAGAACAAATCCAGCTATGAACAAGAACAACATATGCTAGCATTTTGCAACCCTAGACTTCAATGTCAGATACTTGGCCGGTCTATGAGAAGATACAGCTCTCAAATTTACACAGAAAAATACCCTATCTTTTAGGTGGCAGCGCTCTTAAAAGTCCAGAGCTATCATCGCGGTGCTAATAACAAGTTGTGCTCATTTTCCACCCAACTAAAGCAACAGCTGGTCCCTATAAAATCAATTATGTAAATTTACGCAGAAAAATACCCCTTTCTTTTAGGTGGCAGGAGCAGCCTTAAAAGTCTAGAGCTACCATCCCCATGTGAATAACAAGTTGAGCTCATTTTCCACACAACTAAAGCAACAGCTGGTCCCTATAAAATCATTAATTTTTTTTTAGGTAAATTTGGGCAGGAAAAAATACCCTATCTTTTAGGTGGCACGAGGAGCCTTTAAAGTCTAGAGCTATCATTGCGTGCTAATAACAAGTTGAGCTCATTTTCCACACAAATAAAGCAACAGCTGGGCCCTATAAAATCATTAATTTTTTTAGCTTACATAAAAAAAGATTATCGACTGAGATAGCAAAAACAAAGAATATGGCCACATCAAATCTACAGTCTTTTAAATCGTGTACAATTTGAGGCTGGTCAAATATTATCTTCCCTTTTGTTTTTTTAAGGGAACTTTGTCAACCAAAAATAAATAAATAAAACATAAACAAGAAATTAACAACACCTCACAGCTTTAACTTCAACCTTACTGTCTAAGCAATGGCTATAATTTACTTGGTTCTATACACTAAAGCTTAAAAAGTTCCGACATGTCATATGTAGTCATGTTCATATTCAAGGAAGGTAATTTATATAACATCTTTAGAACTACAGCATAACAGTTCAAGGACGAAACCATGGAGCTGTAGTAAGCCATGGAGCTCACCTTTCGGTATTCTGGTGCTCTGCTTGGAAGTTTAAGATATGCCATACTATTCACATCAAAGTCCCATAGGAAAGATGTGTGGTGTATCCAACGTGTTTTAGTAATTGACTGCGCATTCCCACCAAACTTATGGTTACCAAAAACATAATCTGAAAGCAAATGAGAAAATAAGAACGTAAATGCAGCTGTTTGCATCATGATATCAGTTTGCTCGCATCAATTTCACATGAACAAATCAAAAGGCAGCTATTGTTTCCCGGTACGACATGAATTGAATTGTCATTTAAAAATCTACCTTGCTAAACAAAACTCCTGACTACCTAACGATGAAGCTAGTTTACGAGAGTGAAAATAATATAATCATGTAAGAAAACAAAATACTCTGATTCAAAGTTTAATACACTGCAGGCACCATATGTAAAAGGCTGAGGACAGGAAAGGCAAACAAATAATTGATAAGGTAACAAAATGATCAGATATGCTGAACCATAAAACAACCGTGTACCAAAACAATGAAATTCAAACAGATTGATTGGTCAAATTCAAACCTCCAAAAAGTTATATGAGAGAGCAATGATCACCATAAATTTGAGTTAAAAAAGAAAGAGAGGTCCATATACTTTCAGTTGAGAAGAACATTCATGTATGAAGAAAAATAATTGTTGACATATTCAAGTGAATCTTTCAACATGAAAACCACAGGTAAAATCAGAAGCTAGTCATACCATTCTCACGAAGGCTAAAATCTCCAACTTCTTGAAATACGTCTTTGTAAATTAAGCTACTCCAAGACATGATGGGCCTAGGATAAGGCTGTACATCTGGAAGCGCATCTTTGTTGCATATGAATGTTGCAAATACTGTGTTATGATCAACAATGACAGTACCACCTCCAGTAAACCTTCGGATTACTGCAACCTTGTCTTGCAAGACAGAATTGATGTTCAAAAGTTCAGCAGGTTTCCTACAGAAAAGATTCATTAACAGTTAATTTTTTGCTAACATTACTCATGATGTGCCCAAAACTTAAGGAAGACCAGGGAAAATGTATGGTATTGTCATGTCAAGTCCCAAATTTAGTAACTAACCAACAATAGCTGGCTTGAACACACCTTGTTAAAGATAATCTCCATGATAAAAAGCAGCACATCGAGAAAGTAGGTCATCACGAAGCAGAATGAATTTCAGACAGGATAGAGATATAGGAAGTTCAAGAAACAACAAATGATTCTTCTCTTGGATATTAAGATATGAAGACATGTGTTACACCACATCAACTGTCCAAGGTTAATATGTTCTGCAAAATGTACTATTGTGATTTGATTACTACCAAAATTATCCAATCAATAAGTGTATGCACCAGTTCTATTTAAAGGGGGGAAAAAACCCTACCCACTTGCAGTTGAAGCTTTATGATTCCCTCATATGCAATGCATTAGAAATATCTAGATCAAGAGGAGAAACTGAAACCAGGGCATAGTTTGAGGGCAATTTGCATCTACATAAGTTCAAAAAGTTGAACAACAAGGTAGAGTTTAAAAAACATCATAACATAACCCAATGTTAGAATTTCAGGCACAACAGCAAAAAGTACAAGTGAACGAAACCTTCCCTCAATAAATTCTGAAGAAAAACATCGAAACAGAGAGTCATATAAAGGTTATAAATTGACAAATTTATCAGAAATGCAGAATACTCATTAGCGAAATTAAGAATTACCCAGAAACTCCCATAACTATATTGCGATCATTAGTTCCATCATTAAGAATGCACCAGTTATCTAATGTCGTCCGAAGCAACCGTTCCTCCAGATGCAACTGTTCCAAGATGGGCATTCCTTTTACTCTCAGCAAGTTCATTGATGGAAGCCCAAGTGTTTTGAGACGATTTATTCCCATTGAGGATTTCAACAAAGGCCAATTCCTACAATAATTCCTACAGCATTGATAAAACAAATACTACTATAACTTTAGTTCCGACACAAGAAATTCATACCTTCAATCTCTACTGTATCAAATTGCTCGAAATTCGAAACAAATCGAATTTCAGTTCAACCTTGTTCTGATTTAGACAATTAAACAAGCAGTTCACGAGAACTAAAGAAGTCGAGAAATTCAAGTGAAATCAAACTCTGACCCTCGAACTCGATACGTTTCAGTTCATATACACACATGGAAAAAAAAAAAGAAAAAGAAAAAGAAAGGAAGAAAAGTACTTGCAATGGCGCCTTTCTAGGGAGCTCGGAAGATGGAAGACTCCGGCGGTTGACCTCCGGTCGTTGATCTCCGGGGTAATTGGAATTTGGATGAAACTTAAATTAAAACGAGCAACGTTTCTGTAAGTCAGTTTGGGCTGGGGTTGGTTCCAAAATCCAGGCTTAAGTCTTTCAATTTTCTTAGACCCATATCCACAAAATAAATACACTATTCATACTCCCTCCGTCCCAATATTATTAATAGTAGTATATTTTCATTTATATTCAAATTGTAATAAAATTTAAAATTCAAACTGGACAATGATTTTAAAAAAAGAGTATAAAATTTCAACTTATATTTTAAAATTTATTTTAAATAGTATTATTTTTACATAAGCCTCATTGTCAATTCTACCCTCACTGATTTTCGGTTAGTTAATTTTGTTCTTCATGTTTAAAATTTTTGCCAATTTTGTTCAATTGTCTTAATTTCTATTAAATAAATTTAACGGATTTCCGTTATTTTTTAAGATAAATACCTCAATAGTTTTAAAAAATTATAGTAATAACCCCCAACATATGTAAACATCACAAAAAAAATTCTTTTTCATTTTTTATTCATTTTTCTCTATTTCATTTTATTTCTCTTTACTACTTTTCATAACCATCAAAATATACTGTACGATCTTTAAAAAATGAGAAAATTTGGCTAAAGGGCAGTAAAACAAGTCAAATTAATAAAAGGGATATGACTTTAAAATATTTTTTATAAAGTGCGTTAGTTTATTTGTCAAAAATCATAAAATCAATTTTATAATAACATAATTATCTTTATTTTTTTCATCAAATACATAAAAAGAGTTTGTGCTCCATTTATCCGAATAATTTTTTTTTTGAGGAAAATTGTTTCTTTCTTTAATTTCCACTCCAAACTTGGGATCTCCACTTTTGCCCATGAAGAAATTCAGACACTAATGATCACAATCACTGAAACAACTTTGAAACTTCCGCATCTACCCACTTGTAACATTTCCCTTAGTTTTAGGTAAAAAAAAATTAAGGAAACTTGCATATTATAGAAAATGAAGATCTCTTGTGATGCAGTGAATTCTCTCTTCTAGCCACAATTAAAATATCAAATTTTGATTTTTTGCGGTGGATAAAAAATACTCCGCACTTGTTTTCATTTATGATTTATTATTGATGATTACTTACTGCCTGGCCATCAAACAATCCAATCTTGAAACTGATCGATCAGCTCTAATCTCTTGACCGCACAGTCTCCCTCCTTATAGTCTGCCGTGGGTTTTTGTTTTGTAATATCATCGAAAAAAACTCAACCAAGCAATTGGATTATGTCAAGAGGAGGATTAGTTCTCAAGTTCAGAGAAGGCGCAATTAGGGTTCTTATTCATTCATCTTTAAGATGAATTTTGAATTTTGTTTTATTACATTATTCTTATTTTGTATAAGAAATTATAAGGGTAATATTGTGAATTCAAGTATTTCTTTATTTTATGATTTGTCCTTCATAAAAAATATTTTAAGGTCATACTCTTTTAATAATTTGATTTTTTTAACAGCTCTTTAGCCAAATTTTCCCTTAAAAAAATAATTATCTATTTTCAAACTCTATTTTTTAAGTGCAACACATGTGAGTTGGGTTTTGAGGTAATTTTATCATTTTATAGTTCTTAAAATTTAAAATTTTTAATTTATTTTTACGATTTTCTTCTTATACTCGTTGTCTTGTATATGTTGGTACCAGTATAATTACTAAATTTCAACAAACAATTTACCTTTTGTATTTCAATTTTGAGGTTTAGAAATAGTAAAAAAAAATACAATGTTAAAAAATACACCTATTTAAATTTGTCACGAAATTTAATGATTACTTATATAATGTAGCCATTCACAAAGTAACAACATTAATTACTAAAAAAGAATAAAAATAGTATTAACTAAATCTACAGAAATTCATCGTCCTGGACTAATTAAAGGATATTTTTTTGTTACAAATGATTGTCCAATTTTTATATTATTTTTATTACAACAAATAAAATAATTATTTTAGGCTAGATCGAGTAAAATTTATATTTCGTAACTTAGGTATGAATTACAGGAAGTTAAGGAGGAAATACTTGTTTTAGCAGATTTTTTTAGGTTTCTCTTTCTTTTTGTTTAGAATTATAAATTAGTAATTTTTGTTTTTATTTTAACCCAATTTGTTCTTCCCCGATTTCTTTATTTTTTAAATGTATATATAATCTATGACATAAAAAGATAAATTAGTTATTAAAATTTACTTATTATACTAGTACCGACATATGCAAGTCAGGATATAAGAAAACCAATAGTAAAAATTTAAGAATAAAAAAATTAAAATTTAAAAATTTAAAAAATATAAAATAATAAAATTATCCTTGACGCAACTCACATGTTTTGCACATGAAAAATAGAATTCAAAACTAAATAATAAGTGTTTAAAAGATCATATATTGTATTTTGATGGTTATGAAAAGTAGTAAAGATAAAAAAAAATAAAATAAAAAAATGAACAAAAGTGAAAAACGATTATTTTTTATTTTTACATATTTTAGGGGTTATTTTTAGAATTATTTAAAACTGTTGGGATATTTTTGTTAAAAATTAACAAACATCCGTTAAGTATAACGAAAATTGGATCAATTAGATGAAATTAGCAAACATTTCAAATATAAAGGGAAAAATTGCATAACTGAAATCAATGCGGTAAAATTGACGATGAGGCCAAAGTCTTAGGTATAACCGTCATTCTTCCCATAATTTTTACTCATTACCAGACCACATTGCCATTGTCAGACCACCGTTGGACGGCGGTCTGAATTTGGAAAGAACCGGCTGGCCAGTTGTCAACAAGTGATAGTCTATGGCGGCAGGTGGTGGTCTAGCATCGGTGATGAGTGGTCCTGATGGTGGATAAATTCAAAGGGATATGATAGTTTCACATATTTTAAGATAATACCACCTATTCCTTAAACCTTGAATGACACTCCTTGCCTTTGTGGATTTCTCAGGGAACATCAGTGATACAACCCAAAAAGAGAGAAGATCGTTACTGTAAATACCATTCGTGTATCTATTTTAGCAATTTATGATATAGAGGATCCTTCAATAGAAGCAACTACAAAGCATACTCATACTTAGGAGTTAGAGAACTACCAAAAACTTATATGAAAGACTTGTGGAGAGGATGTAAAAGAAGCTAAACTTTAAAAGGAACATAGTAATTTAAGAATAAGGATGTTTATTCTCAAAACCAGTCTGAGGAATGCCTTACGTAGAGGTCCCATTATAGGGACCAGAATCCAAATAAAAATTACATTCAAAAGAATATAAAATTTCCTTATTAGCACCAATAATGGTACTTTAATCTAATAAGGCAAATAAGAGATGTCCCACCTAGCACGGACAAAGGTGTCTTGCCACATATGGCAAGCAAGCAAGCAAGAGTTTTCCTACTGAGCATGGGCAAAGGTACCTCACCCATATGGCAAACAAAGGGTGTCCTACCTAATATGGCAAATGGCAATTTGCTTGAGAAGATAATACACACAAAGCTGACTTTGAAAAGACAATATGCAAAATGCTAACACACATAACTACTTTGGAAAATAACAGTGGTCCGTGTTCATTTGCAAAGTACCAGCGGCTTATATTTCACTTACTATGATACCATATTAAGCTTTGGTAAATGGCACTGTCGAATAGAGTCCATAACCATCCCAATTGATATCATGATTGTGTTCATATTCCGTTGGCTCTTGTGAGTCTGGATCTAATTTTGGGTATATGGCATCGGAATTCCTCATCTGTGTCCTGTTGATATAATTGTTTTACTTTCGGAGTGACCTTTGGCCAGATTTTTCATGATTTACTGCTTCACCCTCCGCTTTAAGTTTTTTTTTTTTTATAAGAAATGAAATCTTGTTATCACTACACAGTTTCTTGCTAAGGCTGTTGTGCATATATGGGTTGCTAAAGATAGATCCTTCTACACTTGCCCATTTGCAGCTATAAGAATGAGGAATGAGTCTGCCACGAGCTCCACAATAAGAAGGTCTGTAAAACAACCTGATAACTTTGTCAGGAATTTTTCCTTGCTTAGCTTGAAGAACTATTTCTCCATGCATTATAGTATCCCAAGTTTCTATATATCAAACAAGTAGAGAAATGACCAAAGAAAGATCCTGCATTTTGTGGATTCTGGATAAATTTTACAATGGCAGCAGGTATTTCTATTTCAAAGCGGTAAAGAACCGCCATACACCAAAGATATCATAGACTAGTTTCAGGCAATGGAGTATTTATTGACATGTGTATGATAGTTCCAAATGGGTGTTCTAGAGAGAAACATCCTCGTTCAAAAGGAATATCATTAACATTGAGAAACATCGCTAAATAGAGTAACACAATTGATGCGTGTCAAATGTACATGATTATGAGTAGAATTTATGCTAGAATTGTATACTACTAAGCAATTTCTATATTTTCCTCTGATCAAGAACCTAATTGAAATATTGGATAAATTCTGGCAAAATTGACAAAAGGCGCGGTTAAAACTGATTGGATCAAAAGTGCAATTTTGGAGAAACCAGCTGCAGCCGAAGACTACTTCAGCCTTTTTCCAATTCTAGGAGGCACCTTTGGGGCCATTTCCTTGGTTCAATTCTTATTAGAAAGGAGCAAAACTTGGAAGCCAAAGAAAATCAGTGCAATGTGGCTTCGTGATCCAAAAGATCAACGCAAAATGCCAAGAAGCAGCAGCTGGAATCAAGCTTGAAAAGCCAAGCGAGGAATGAATGCTCTTGATGTAGCTGCTGCTGGGTGTATGTGGAGAAATTCAAGTGAAGAAGCAAGCTGCTACCGCTCTATAAAAAGAGAACAAGATGCACATTTTAAGGGAGAAGGCAAAGGCACATGTTAGTGTAGAAAGATTAGGATTCAGTGTAGTAGTGATCTAGGAGAGAGCTTTGCAATAGAGCCCCTTAAGGTAGTTAACAGAGAAACAGTTGCTCTGACAAGTGGCATCCCAACTTGTATGAGTGGTCTGCTGTTCTTTAAAATTTTACATCTTTAGTTCTCTGTTTACTTTCTCTTACATTGTAATCATGTCTTGTGTTCAGTTTTTCGTGGATTTCATATTCAAAATACTGATTATGAGCTAGATTTTTTGTTAGGGTTGAATCCCTCTTTCTATGTAAAAATATTGTAGATTTATATCCGGACGATGTAAGTGTGCCCAGTTTTAATGTTTGAATTAACCTTGTATGTAGTCTGATGAACTAGGCACTCATGATGGGTAAACTCAGTTTAGAATAACTATAATCAGTCAGGTGACTTAGAGGTAACAGTCTAAGATTTAAACTAGGTCAGAATACTAGTTAGCACGAGGTGGTCAACAAGACTCTAGAATTGTAATGGCTCGCCAAACTGAACATCTTACCCGGAAGGGATTATGTTAGTCACTGGGGTACACTCTTAATTCAATCGGAAGAGATTTAGGAGTAGTTGAGCATTTGACCGATCACCCTTTGTACCACATGGATGCATAATAATTATAGAAGTAGTATAGGAAGAGAGGATGCTCCCAGAACTTCCAACTTACTACTAAACTAATAGTTTTAAGTTTGTTATAAATTTCTTTGGCCACAATCAACGACATCACGCGATATTGTGTCGGACCAACATTATCTCTGGCAAATTTTTGTATTTCGTGTAGGGTCTGGAAAGGTTTTCTTCTGGGTGAAAAACGTGGACTGGATGGAATTGTGAGGTGATTTCAGATGAACAGGCCATGAAAATTGGAATGATGTTTTTGGTTGAGATAAGATGTAGTGGTTGAGCTGGATGAGGTCTTAATAGCAGATTTGGAATGATATTTGTGTCTCCTTTTATATGTTTCATGGAGAACTCGTATTTGGAAAATCAATCCTTTAATCTCAATAGTTGTGGTTCTGGTACTCGCTTGTTCTGCAGATCCACAATTTTCGGGAAAGAAGTGTTATCTATCTGTGAAATGATGTCCGCAAAGATGAAATTCAAATTGCTAATCCCATTTTTTACGCCCAATTTTATTTTTATTTTTATTATTTTTTTTAGTAAACTACATGATAGTGTTTCTCTAAGTCCTTGAACTGCCGCAATATTTTTTCTTTCCTTCTATCTCTTTAGTAGTCATTTCCTTAGACTGTTTTTGTTCCTTTCCATTCTTTTCCGCTCAAAATTCTGAATTTAGTAAGAATTTCTCCATTTCTTTGATTCACATAAAAGTTCTCAATTTTTCAGATTAAATTCCAAGAATGATGACTATATCAAAGAGTGTTAACGGCTAATCGGTCAAAGAAGTGATGTTGCCCGTTGATGATTTGGCAGTTCCATTGGGAAGCCTACAAGTGTGATTTCTGGATCTTGATGCTAAGATCGAATCCAAAGTTACGGAGCAAGAGCCAAAGACGGTTGATATGCGCGTGCGCTTGATGGAAATGTTAGCCAGAATTTTTGAAGGTTCTGTCTCCAAGAAATATGAAGAAAATGCATCCAAATTCTGAAGGAATTGGATGAGCGTGACAGCCGTATTGAGAAGCTGTTAGAGTCGTCGCAATCTTGTGATCCAAATAAGGGTCCAGTGTCAGATTTAGTAACGTTGGCGATTCAAGCTGTTACTCGAAGGACCGTTATTTCAATTTCACCAGATCCGACGAGGGCTCCGTTCAAACCTGTATCGGATAAAGGGTTATTGACCACTTATATGTATTCAGTTCTGCTGAGGTAGGATTCCAGTCTCCACATGTTAACACGCATGGCAAGGGAGTTGGAGCCACTCATGACAAGAACTTTGGATTCTCAAGAGTACCTTAAAAAATGCAATCAAAGAAATTAAGGGATGTCAGTGGGTGGTCAATTAGGGTAAGAACTACTCCTTTTACAGTTGGAGATTTGTAAGGTTTTTTTTTTTTGATGTATCTGTTCGTGGATATAAAATTTCTCAGTGATGTAACTTAGTGTTTGAGGTATTTGGAGTATTCCACGTTTGGTTTGCTTGGCATCTGGACTCTCAGGTTACTTTGTTAAACATACATCAAAAGTTTGTTCCTGCATTGTTTTTGAGATTGGATATGTCATTTATTTTAAGACATCAGTTTCTTTTTACATAAATATATGTTATCGCATTGATGAACAAAGGACTTTCGCATTTTAGAAACTTGGATTCCAGACTGAACTGGGGGATATGTATTAATATTAAATCTCATTTACCAAAAAAAAAAAAAAAAAACGTAGCAGAAGGTTTAAAACTATCTTTTCATTTCTTGATAACTACTCCCTCCATTCCAAAATAGATGTCGTTGGAGGAAAACTCATTTTTTTCAAAATATATGTCGTTTTTGCATTTCGAGGCATGTTTTGTCAATTTCTTCCAACATTACCCCTACATGGGAAATTGTAATTGTGTTTAAAGTAAAAATATATTAGAACTAAATAATATTGGAAATAGGATTCCATTGAAAGTAAATGAGGGTAGATTAATATTTTAACCAAGTATTTAGTGTGTTTTTAAATTTTGTGCAACTTCCCCAACGATATCTATTTTGGAATGGAGGGAGTAATGAATATTAATTGTCCCACCAATCATCATCGACTAATGTAAAGCTTTCTTTTTATTCCTTTCCTTTAATTCTTTAAGGATGACCACGTCAGTTTTGCTGATTTCCAAAAATTATCAAAATCCAAAAGAAAAAAGTTAAATCCCACTAATTAAGGAATTGATTAAGAATTGATTAGAAATCCTTAAATATGACCCTTCTGACTTTTGGCCGCCGTCGCTAACATTGATCTTTTCAAACAATCTTATCAGAACTCATATCTAATTGTTTGTATTGATTGGAGATTAATGGAGCAAAAATTTCAATACCCATACCAACACTGTAAAACATGCATGGTTTGATGTTAAAAAATTTATCAATTTTTACAACTTTTTTCTCTAAAAGAAAAATAGGAGAAGAGGAACATAAAACAATGGAAACCTATTTTATGGAAGAAACGATGAGGTGGAAAGGAGAAGAGAATGAGAAATAACGCAGGAAACTAAGGAAAAGGACAAAAGATAATAGATGAAAGAGGGAAAAAAAATCAAAATTAAAATAATAAAACGAGTTAACTATTGATTCATATTAAATCCTTGAGGGGGAGGCATGATTGATTCTTTCGGATTCAACCCATTCTATTGTATTCGAAACCAACTAACCAAACATTCGAATGCGAATGATTCTGAATCCGAATCCTGACTCCAAATCCATTAACGAAACAATCTCTTACACTAACATCAACACTTATGATAATAAATATTTGTAACAATAACTCAAAAGTTAAAATAGTTCGTGCAACGCACGGCTAAATTCTAGTGAAATTATAAAAGTTGCAGTATGACTTGATCTTTTTAATTGGAAACTTAATTAATATGGAAAAATCAATTCTAAAAGTAGCAAGTCTATTTATCACTTTTATACTTTATTATTATTCAGATACTATAAATCTAATTTTAATTAAGATTTTAATTTCAAAAACTTGAACTTTTTTCTTTTAAAAATGAGAGAATATTCGAGTAAGAAGAAGGCAATTCTAGCGGCTTTGGGGGAACCTATTGAGTATATATTCTCTTCGAAATTCAAAATTTGATATCAATTAAACGTTCAAATATACCTTTTGGATCCTTGAAACAGATAATATGATGACACATTGTATAGCTTCTTATAATAAATCGGAAGTTACCGAAACTAATGTCTTGATACAGAGTGTCCGATTTCCTTTCCTTTATTAATCAGGACTAGCTGATTTTCAATAAAAGTGACTTTTTTCTCAAGAAAAAAAAAAAGAAAAAAAAAGAAGAAAAAGGCAGAAGCTAAAGAAGTTAACAAGATGACACTCATATCTCAACAGTTAACAGGCGAAGTTCAGGAGATACTTAAATCATATATATGGGACCTTAATTTCGGAAGGATAAAGTATCTTCTAATTTTTTCTTATATAAACTTGTTCAAACTTCCCTAAAAAAGAAAAAAAAAAAAAAAAGACTTGTTCAAACTTAATTATTCTCAATCATTATTGCTGCAACGTGAATTGAATTATAATGATATGATTGAGCTTTATAGCCGCGAGGGAGATGTATTGGATGGCTACAATTTTAACGTCATTTTCTGTTTTTCTGGCAGTAAAGAAAATTTAAAAAACAGCCTAAAAAACAAGGGCCAATAGGAAATGGTCAATAATGAATACCCATCTCTCAGATAACGCCGCCATTAACCCGAATAACCTGTCCATTGACCCAGCCGCCGGCATCGGTTGCCAGGAACCCGACCATCGGAGCTATGTCTTCCGGCAATCCCAGCCTTCCCTGCGGGTTCTCACTCACCAGCATTTTCAACATCTCCTCCGTCTTCCCGATGAAGAAATACTCCGTGGCGGTGGCTCCGGGGGCCACGCAATTAGCCGTAATCCCAGTCCCTTTGAGTTCCTTGGCCAGTATCGGAACCATGGCCTCCACCGCCGCCTTGGATGCGGTGTAAGCACCGAAGTTAGGTCTCAACGCCGCCGTCGTCGCCGACGTGATACATATGATTCTTCCTCCGCCGCCCCGTTTAATCCGGTTGGCGGCCTCCCGGCAGCACAGGAATGCTCCCCGGGCATTCACGCTGAAAATCCGGTCGAAATCCTCCACGGAGGTCTCGGCAATGGATGGATTCTTCGCATGGAAAACGGCGCCGGAGTTGACGAATATGTTAACGGGGCAATTAAAGGCCGACTCCGCGGCATCAAACAGGGTTTTTACTTGATTCGGGTCGGACACGTCAGCCTTAACTGTGACGGCGCGAGTTGGCGAGGGGGCGGAGGCGGCGGCGTTGATTTGGGAAGCTAATTGTTCAGCTTTACCGGAATTGGAGGAGTAGCTGACGACGATTCGGGCTCCCAGGGAGCATAAGTGGAGGGCAATTGCCCGTCCGATTCCGCCAGAGCCGCCCGTGACGATGGCTACCCTGTCTTGAAGAGGTAGATGATCGGCGGCGGATCCGGCGGGTATACTTCCTTGTGGATCTTCCCCCATTTCTCGACGACCGGCAAAAATGTCTATTATTAACGGGATTCCGGTAGAAAAATGAGAGTAATGGAACTGGGAAAAAACGAGATCGAGAGGGTGAATCACGTTGAAGACGTTATACGTTTCGTACGTTTAGCCTAGTTTTCCCACATTTGTACATCTTTATTATGTATGTATGTATGTGTATTTATGGATCACTACATGAGATTACATTTTCTTTAGAATTCGTTGCAAAATTTTCTTTTGCTTTGACAATTAAGAGAGAGAGAACATCTCTCGAAAGCCGCTATTTTCCTTGGCCTCTAGTCAACAGTTTCAATCAAGAGATATCTTTTCTTTCCTTTGCAAACAGTGACAAAACCGACTACTTAAACTTAGAGGGGCTGACTAAATATTCATAATCAAGATTAATAGTTTAATATATATGATGTAATGTTAACCGTGACTACTCTTAAAGGGCTTTCTGACCGGCAGGAAGGGCTCGATACCCCCGAGCCCCTTAAGAGTTCCGTCCCTGTTTACAAGTTTGCATGCAACTTGGTTATGGTCCCATAAAAAACACACGGTACAAAAACGATGTCCACATAGGTTCATAAAGTTCTCTAAGTCTTTAACATCGAGAGATCCAATCGAAAAATAATACTCCCTCTTTCTAAAATTATTGTCCAATTTGAGTTTTCACTTTTAGTTCATTTTGTACTAAAAATGAAAATATAAACTGGACAATAATTTTGAGACAGAGGGAGTAAGAATTCGATGTCAATAAATGTTATTTTATTTTTTAGAAAATGAACGTCATGTAAAGTTTGGCCTTGTATTGTAGCCAAAAAATATTTTTTTAAAAAAATCTAAAATACCAAATTAATTATCACGAATCATAGATCTTCGACCAACCCTGTGCTCTCTAGTCACTGCCACACGAGTATTGTGAAGCGTACAAGAAAACTCACTATTCGATTCCTGCGTAACAGTTCTTTGATCTTGGATGATCCTCAAATGAATGGCCAAAATATCTTTTTGATCTTGCGATATTCATATATAGGTCAAATAGCATGACGACATTGGAATATGCCAGCCTCATAAACATGGTATTTCTATTCTTTTTTTTTTTTTTTGGCCAAATACATATTTCATTCAATTTTCTTAAACAAAGTTCTTATTACAAAGGTTCTGCTCCAGATCATATGCTAGTTGGTACGCATTTTTAATTATATCTCTAGGCATTTTAACTACAATACAATAAGACATATAGAGAGAGCAAACTCTAGGATATCTCCCTTGAAACCACTATGTCATGTCGGAATTGATATTTCACCCCGTAGCATCTGTAAAGCCTTGCTACAGTCCGTATTAATACGAACATTAGTCCATCCATATACCGTTGACATGTTTGCTTTGCCCATTTGATAGCACACAACTCCGCTTGTGTAGCATTAAGACTAAAACATTCGTTCGCAGCTTTGTGCATCACTGTTCCTTCTCTATCCCTTGCCACAATTTCCATTGCCGCCTTTTCCCTTTGTTTTACCGGAGAACCATCCACTTTGATAGTTATCATTCTATCTTCCCTTCCACATGTTTGATCCCCTGTCAGGCATAAACTCTTTTAATCTTCTCTCCTCCAGCCCTTGACATGTCGTCCCTCACCAGGCAAATCATGTACTTCTGTCTCCATGTTCCCCATAATCTGGTCTTCTGGTAGCTTTTTCAAAAGTAGCCATAAGAGTTTTGCTTCCTCAGGAGTTCACGCTTCATACCATCTTTCATTCCTCCAAACCTCCTAGTTCCTAGCGACCGAAATTGCCCACAAGATATAACTGGACAAAACCTTGGCTTGCATTAATGGGACCATTTTCAACCACTCATTAATCTTAACTGGTTGTCCTCTTGAGAAATCGAAACCAAGTGGGGATAGTCTCGACACTCTTGCCACAGCATTGCACTCTAATAACATGTGTTCAATAGTTTCCTCTTGGAAGCCACAACGGGGACATGTGGGAGGGATATTTTACCTCTCTTCCATAGTTCCACTGCTGTAGGACATGCATTAGACATAGCTCTCCATATGAAGAACATAACCTTATTAGGTAACTAAAGTTTTATTATTTCGTTCCAAAACTCTTCATCTTGCCCACTCTCCATGTGATGTGGCCGCGAAGTTGACGGCCTATTACCACATTCCAAGTTCCACGCTACATAGTATCCCCTCTTCAAAGGGTACCTTCCATTTACCTCCATACCCCAATAAGGTCGTCTTCCATTCCCTTTTCCTCCCTCCCAATGTATAAAGCTGCAATATTTGGCCATACATTTGATGGAAAAAGCGTCTTACTTAAAGACCACCTCCATGTGCCATTATCTTCCATCAAATCTGCAACTTTCAAGGATAGAGAATGGCTGGCATGATTTCCACAGAGATTGAATTATGCACGCCCGGAATCCACTCACGAATTCTAACTGATCTTCCATTATGCACCTTCCACTTCAACCCTTTCTTAACTAGCTCTTTTCCCCATAGAATCCCTCTCCAACCCCATGAAACTCCTTTATTAGCTTCCACGTCCCAAAAGCTTTTCTTTTTGCATTATTTAGCCCTAAAAACTTTTGCAAAAAGAGTATTCTCACATGATCCAATCTTCCATGCTAACTTCCCTAGGTACGCCTGATTTGAAAGTGCAGATTCCTTCATTCCCAGACCTCCTCTCAACTTTGATTTACACAGATCCCTCCACGCCTTCCAGTGTATGCCTCTTCCTTCAACATGTCCTTTCCAAATGAATCTAGCCAAAATCTTATGAGTTCGCCTTGCGGTCGTTATAGGAATTTTGAAAGCCCCCATTGTGTACTGTGCCATTGATCTAAGTACATGCTTTCCAAGTACATGCTTTGCTAACGCACACTTCCTAAAACTGGCAAGTCTTCTGTACGCCATCCTTCCACTTTCCTTCTTATTTTATTGGTTAGTTCTTGGAAAAGCAGTGTATTCAAAGTTGAGAAGTTCAGATCAAACCCAAGCATCTCACATCAAAAAAGGACTTAGTCACGTTAAACATCATTTTCAAATATGTAATCATGTCGTCCTTTGTATTTGGGCTGAACAATACTGATGACTTATTGAATTTTATTCGTTGGTCTGCATGTCTTTGGAAAATATTTAAAACTCTAGCCAATTGGCTTGCCCCTTGTACAAAATTTTCCAAGAACACAATGCAATCATCAGCAAACATTAAGTGTGATATTCTTCGTGTTCCAGGGGCTATTGCCACTCTTTTCCCTACCTCTTTGAACTTAGCATTGCACAGGAAAGAACAGAATGCTTGTTAACACAAGATGAAAAGAAAGGGTGATAATGGATATCCTTGTCTGAGTCCTTTATTTGGGCTAAGCGGCTGTGACTTCCAACCATTAAAGGTGACCGTCATTGATGTCATGGATACACACTACATAATCCACTGTCCCCACCTTTCTAAAAATCCATTATTCTCTTAAAGACTCGCCATGACACTCTATCATAAGCCTTACTCATGTATGGCTTTAAAGCCTTATAACTCCTTAGTCCTTGCTTGTGTTTTTTAATACACTTCACCACTTCATGAGCATGTAGCGTGTTCTCCGTGATTGAACGACCATGAATAAATGCTGCTTGGTTATCATCAACTAGGTTCTGTACAACGCCTCTCAGCATGTTCGCCAATATCTTTGCTACTATTTTGTATGTAACATTACACAAGCTACTTGGACGAAAATTACCTGGTTCCACTGGATTTTAGGTTTTTTGGGATGAGCATGATCACCCTCCTATTCCACTTTGGGTTCTACTTTGATTTCCTCTTCAGAGACTTCTCTTATCATACTTTTTTGTTGCGTCTGGGATAGCCTTCTATCAATCATATTTAAAACCTCCTCTAGCATGCAATGCTCGTCTAGATCTTCCGTCATATTCTACTCTGTCGTGTAGACCTGGTTTATTGTTCCACCATTAAGTGCATGACTTCCTCCTGATTGGTAGTCCACTCACAATCTTTCTTCTTTAAATGAGTGATGAAGTTTCTCCCCCTCCTCTTTTGCACCCAATTATGAAAGAAGCGTGAATTACCTTCTCCATCTACTAACCATTTGACTTCAACATATTGTTGCCAGAAATCCCGCTGATCCTTTAGAAGAGGCTCCAACTCTTACAATTCTCCTTTATCTACGACACCCAGCTGTTGTTGCCTATCTATCTTTCTCATATGTTTGGCTATTCTCCTACCCAAGGCTCCAAATAATTTACGGTGCCAGCTATTTAAATGTTTCATGGTCACTTCTAAACATGCCGATAATCCCCCTAGAGTTTCATTGGACAGCCCTCTATGATACCATACTCTTTTGATGATTTGTCTTGCCGCATCATGATTTGTCCAAAAATCTCTCCAACTTAAACCCTAGTCAACTCCTTCCTCTCTCTGGATACAATTCAACTACTACAGGTTTGTGATATGACTTCACCATAGTCAAGTTCTGAATAATAGCTCTCTAAAATATTTGTTTCCACCTTATATCTGCAAATGCTCTATCAAGCCTTTCCATGATCTCATCTTCCCCTCATCTCCCATTACTCCAAGTATACCACACCCCTCTACTATTTATCTCAGATAAGTTTAGTTCCTTAAATCATTCTTCCTAGGCCAAAGTTTTCCACCTGCCTTTAACATCATCCACCAAATTTATCTTCAACATTCAGAACTTGATTAAAATCACCATTCAATATTTTCAGATAAAACATGTAGGTTATTTTTTATAGTTTTCCAAACCCCATCTCTACATTAAGCTACTGGGTGGCCATACACAAAAGTCATGATCCATTCGGTGCCATTTGGTTGGGATATATTATATAGACAAAATTAGGAGACTATTTAGAACTCGCAAATTTCCCATTCTATCCCATGCAATGCAAATTCCGCCTCCAATCCCAACTGGGTCAACTAATTCCCAACATTGAAAATAGATAGACCTAAGCCACTTACACACCTTACTATTGTTGCACTTTGTTTCAAATAAACATAATAAATAAGGATTATACATACGAAGAAATTGGTTGAGTCGCTGAACTATAGAGGCCTAGCATAAACCCCTACAGTTCCAGCAAAAAATACTCATGGCCCCTGTGGTGATTTTTTTGGACAACCACCCCAAACCCTTCAGCCTGCTTAAAGAAAGAAAATAGGAGCGAATTCAATACCTCCGTGTTAGTCAACACCGCCACTTCATCTTTTATTAGTTTGGCGTCATTTCTTTTCCCATAATCGTGGTGCCTACGAAAAATCCTTCC